TTTTTTTTTTGAAAGGCTTCTTTTTTAGAAAACTATTGAAAGAGTTCGTTTTTTGGGTCGTGATTGGAAGGAGGTTTTGAAGGATGAACTTGGGGAAGAGTATATATTACCGTTTTGGGGAGGAAGCAAAACGGCCAATTGCTCCACTGGTTGTATTCGTATGGGTGGCGATGTTCCGGAAGATATGAAGTACAGATAGAATTCCTTTAGTTGTGTTAACAAACGCGCATTTTGCTCAATATTATAAAGCTTTTTTTCAGGCAGGAAGTCGCTGAATCACTGAAAGTTCTACCTAAAGAAAAACTGAGACAGATGAGAATTGAAGCTCGTAATAAAGAAGTTCTTAGTTTTGAAATCAGCAAACCGCAAACAAAACTCTCGTGGTACTTTACGGTTGAATCGGGTGATATCGATTTCTACATCACTTTTAACGATATTACGGTAAGTGCGCAGCATTCAAGTTCTAAATTTAACTGTTGATGTTTTGTATAAAGGTATACTGGAAAATGTTGAGCTTACATTTCTTACCTACTTGTTGCTTCAAGTGTCGGTGTCATTTTTAAAACGTAGATGTTGAGATATCAAAAATAAATTTAGGTTTGGCCTCGGTTTCGCATTTCGACAGAATTTGTGCCAGAGTTTGGTGGAATTGTCTGTCAGGATGTTGGATCTTACATATTACATTTTGATAATCGTCATAGTACTTTTACTGCTAAAAATTTGTTTTATGATATTGAGTTTGATTTTTTATAGTGCCAGAACGGCATCTGTAACAAAAACGAGGCAGTTCTAACAGAAGTCAATTGAAAAGTTTAGTTTTTTTTTTAATTTTTCTCGAATTCTGGATTTAGTCTTTTGAATTTTGTTGACTGCTAGCAAAAATGAAGTTTTTTTGGTTTTACTTTTAAAAACACGAGCAAAAAAATTTTTTTGATTTATTACCAATATATAGTAGAACCTGCTTTGTCTTAATTCTTTATATAGACGTATGCTTTATTTTGACTATTCTGCATTATATTTTATAAAATAGAATTAGTTTAGTAAAAAAATGTTTTTAATTTTAATTGTTTTTCAATTCTTCCTTGTTTTTCTTTTCCTGTTTTCAAGAAGAGACCTCTGAATTGTATTTCTAATAAAAGTTTTTTTTAGGTTACAAATATTTATTATATATGGGTGAAAAAACTGAAATTTTGTAGTTTTTAGGCATTAGGACTTACTGTGTAAAAATATACATTTCATGCTTTCTGACTGGGTTTTTATAAATTTTGACTGAGTTTCTGACGACTTAGTAGGGTATTGTAAAAAAT